TTTAGAGAGATCTTTTGCAGCACATTTCCCAGTGTGGTTCATAATTTGATTTCTTGACTGCTGCTTCCATGGGCATTGATTGTGGATCCAAGTAAAATCTTTGACAACTTCAATCTATTCTCTGATGTTGCTTATTGGTCTAGTTGTGAGGATTTTTATTGTTTTTATGTTGAAATATAATCCATACTTAATGCCATAGTCTTTGATCTTCTTCAGTAAGTGCTTCAAATCCTCTTCACTTTCAGCAAATAAAGTTGCGTCATCTGCATATCAAAGGCTGTTTGGTTCAAATGACTGCCTCTTTGTCTATGTATAACTTCCCAGTGAGCACTATTAAGTGTTCTAGAATTCCTGTTCTTTCCAACGTTATCCACAATTTGATATGATCCACACAGTTGAACATCTTTGCATACTCAATGAAACACAGATAAACATCTTTCTGGTATTCTTTGCTTACAGCTAAGATCCATCTGAAATCAGCAATGGTATGCCTAAGCTACTGGAGTTCCCTGGTCTTCAATTAATGGTAGTTATCAAGACACTGTAGCATAGTGCCTAAGGCACTTGACTGCTCACCAGAAGGCTGGCGGTTCAAACCCACCAGCCACTCCTCGGAAGGAAGGTTGGGCAATCCTACTTCCATAGTGATACTGCCTCGGAAACCCAAGGAGGGGTCACTATGAGTCGGGGCTGACTCGATGGCAAAACAATAACAACAACAACATGTATTAGTGGGGAGCTCTGGTAGCATAGTGCCTAAGGCACTTGACTGCTAACCAGAAAGCTGGCGGTTCAAACCCACCAGCCACTACTCAGAAAGAAGATGGGGCAATCTACTTCTGTAGTGATACTGCCTTGGAAACCCAAGGGGGGCGTCGCTATGAGTCGGGTCTGACTTGAGGACACATAACAACAACAACAACAATGTATTAGTAGCACTTATAGGGGCTCTGGTAGCATAGTGCCTAAGGCATTTGACTGCTAACCGGAAGGCTGGCGGTTCAAACCCACCAGCCACTCCTTGGAAGGAAGGTTGGGCAATCTACTTCCGTAGTAATACCACCTCTGAAACCCAAGGAGGGGTCGCTATAAGTCAGGTCCAACTCGACGGCATGTAACAACAACAACATATTATCTGTGAGGAGCCCTGATGGCACAGTGGTTAAAAGGCTGTGCTGCTAACCAAAAGGTCAGTGGTTCAAACCAAGGAGCTGTTCCATAGGAGAAAGATGTGGCACTTTGTTTCTGTAAAGATTACAATTTTGGAAAGCCTGTGGGGCAGTTCAACTCTGTCTTATATGGTTGCTACCAACCAGAATCTACTCAACGGCAGTACTTTTGTTTTTTAAATATTATCTATATCCAATTGTTAGTTGTACCTGCATTAGGTGTGTGGCTTTGGATAAAATGCTTGAGGATACAATAAACACAAAAGTGTTTTGGAGGAAAACAAAGCATATCTTATTCACGTTATTGCTGTGTCAGACAGGGATGTAGCAGCTCAGCTACAGGATCCCTCTCCCGTCCTCCAAGTTTCAATGAGAAAGAACTCCAGTTCCCAAATGGAAATCTCAGAAGGATGCCTGACTCACCAGCTCCAGAGTCCAAGCCCCAAATGTCTTGGGGCCATGTAATTTCCTGGCTGTGTTTTTCATCCATCCCAGGGGTTCTATGCTACATTTATCAGCATGGGCAGGGAATCCCCAAGGCTTTGCAGGGGTTGGAAATTCACTCAACACCATCCATTCCAGTGCAGAGAGGATCCCTGGGTCGGCCAGCGGGAATCTCCTCCCTCCAGGGCTGCTTTGCATCCAACATTTAAGAGAAGCCCTGATCTCCCCTGTAGGTTCTCTACACTAAGGGAAAGAAGGTAAACTGTTTCCTATGCACTGTGGGGAGACCAGGAGAAAGCAGGCCGATGCTGCCACAGCAGTGAAGGAGGTTACTTAGCTGAAAAACATCTGAAGATGCTGCTCATTTGTAGTTGGGGCTTGGGGGTGTATCTTGGGGAGTATAGCCTTCTCAGAGCATCTCCAAGAATGGAAAAATAAACCCAATTTATTCCTCGCTGTCCACTTACTGGGGGAGGAGAGGAAGAGACACCTACCCTTACTGAGCAGTAGTGAGGTCTCCAGCTCGTATTCATAGCCTTTTCTAGACTTGTGCTGGTCCCACTCAGGAGCACTCCCCAACCACCAGTACACTTAAAATGCTTCCTTAGACTCCTTGGCAGGTCCTCTGACAAGGCATCCTCTCCCTCCTTTCCTACCAGAAGAGCAAAGTCTGGGAAGGGTGGGGAAGAGTTGGCAGGTGGAGAAAGAGTGGATATGTATATGGAATTTTTCTACTTTGAGGACTTGACTTGCGTTTTTTCTTGTGTCTTTTCAAGAGGCAGTGGAATGCAGAGCTTAAGAGCCTGGCTGGCTTTGCAAGCAGAGATCCAGACTTCAGTCTTGGTCCTGCTGCTATTTAGGTTGGTGGAAGTAAAAGCAGAATCTTAAAGAAGAGGTAACCAACATTGGAAGGAGACTCAAAAAGCAATCTGCTGATCCCCACCATTGACTGGCTAGGTGAACTCTTGCATATCTTTCCCTAAACACTGACATAATAATGAGTCATTCACATCCCAAGGTTCTGTGAAGCCCTGAACAAGTGTCATCCTTGAGCTAGATACTATGGACAAGTATAAAAAAATACATAGCCTGCACCTCCAGCTTGGCTGAGAAGAAAATATACACAAATAAAGTAAACTAGACTAGAACTTTCAGGTTCAGGAGAGCAGAAGGGAGGAGGAAAACATAAGTTGGGCCTTGAGGGTTGGTGGAAAGTGAAGCAGATAGGAATATGGAAGGCACAGCTATGAATAGAGCAAAGGGTGACAGGATCTGCAAGGCATTTATGGCAGATACTGACATTGCCAGCTTGCTCAGAGGATCCGTAGCTGGGAGCATTCTAGCTGCCCAGACTAGAGTACCATGAGAATCATGGCTCAGAAGCCTCATTGAGGTACTGATGAATCACATAGACTCTAAAATTGGTTAGAATTGGATCAGGTAATGCCTCGAATTCTAATGTAAGGAGACATGAGAAGGGAAGTGATAGATGACACAGGATCTATGGACGGATGGATCAGGAAGGGAGGACAGTAGGAGACTATTGCAAAAGTCTAGGACTGGGGTGTAGACTGGAGGACAGGAGGAGGTGAGCACCATACATCCTCAGCTCTCATCTTCCCTTCAAGGTTTGCTCTATGCACTGCTGACCAATCCTGATCTCTCAAAATTTCCTATCTCAATGTCCAAGACTCTACCTAGCACAAATATTCCTTATCTGGGAGATCTTTCTCCTTCATCCAATTATTAATGTTCCTTAAAGCTCAGCACACATAAATCTTGTGACTACATAGCCTTGGGCACTTTTTCTCTCTTCCAGAATTCCATCATCATCTTTCGGCAACTGGTCCTCATAATCTTGTTTTCAGCCCTGCCCTCTGGAACCTCAGACACTTGAGATGTTAATGAACTTCCTCTCTCCTCTCTGCACTCCTCCTTTCACACATATCTGATTATCTAAATTGCTGTCATTTATAGAGCATTTTCCATGGTCCAAGTAAAATTCATGCAATCTGCCCTGTGAAGGAGATACTACGTTCAGTTTAAAGATGAATATTATAGGATTCTGAGAAGCTCACTTTGGAGCACATAAACAGGCTGCCAAACTCAAGTGCTCTGACTCCAAAATCTATACTCACTCATGCTCCTGTCTCATGTCTCCATCTGTCAAGATGGAATCTCCACCTATTACATTCCTGCTCAACAAATTGCTCAGCTTGGCCCTCTCACTGGTGCTTATACCATTGATGCAGTCACAGGTGTCCAGTCTGGTTTCCTGGTATCAAAGAACATCAGAGCTGAAAGAGCTCTTTGGGAATCATCAAATCCAACAGCCTTATTATAAAAATGGGGTTGTGAATCTCAGAGAAGGGTAAGAAGTTACTCAAGATCATACAGCATATCAGGGGGACACAGGGACAGAGCTAATACTAGAACCAACTCTTCTCATTTCTAGATTCATTCCATCTCTACAAAATAGTTTTCTTTGTCTAATATTAATATCTTGTGAAATGTCTTAATACAGAGTATCTTCTATATTCTTTTCCATAACCCTGTGATGTACATGTTTCATCTCTATTTATTGTACAAGGAGACAGAAGCCAATGGAGGTGAAGAACTTGTCCAAGGTCACACAGCTTACTAAGCTACAAACAAGGGACACTCAGGTAGGGTGGTACTTGTAAGGTTTCAACAGAAAATCCATCAGAATCCCACTATAGGAAACAAAGCTTAAACAGTCCTCAGGGAAACTAGGAAGACCAGGATCTCAAATCAAATCAAGAACTGAAATCTCTCATTTGCTCAGGGCTGTGACTTTTCTCCTTTCTGCTTCTCAGCATGTCTGCTCTTTTCTCATGTCTTCAAGGGCTTCACTTTTGTTCTCTTTTATTCAATCCGTGTGTTACATTGAGCTGACACCACACCAGCTCTGGGCTAACAATACTTCAATTACCCACTGCCCACTAACACAGACTTTCAGTGTCATAATTTTTAATTCTCAAGAAAGACATTAAGATTAGGACAGTGTGTAGTCCTGATCAAATTCAGCTGTGGCCAGGGAGTGACAGGATCTCCTGCTACGAACATAGATACCCAAAGCCTTGACTTCTATGGCTGGGGTTAATTTCCAGGGGAAAGGCTTGTGGGAAGTCAAGAATTTCATGTTCTAATACAGGTATCAATCAAGACCTTCTGACTTATTCTCGTGTTCCTGAGCTGTCCTAGCTCTCTTGTCCTTTTCATACAACTTAACAAAGATTTGACCAAATCCATGTAAGATACTGCACAAAGCACTGGGGTGTGTGACTCAACCTCTGACTCTCAACTCTGTCTTCTCTCCACCAAGACCAAGAACAGAGCAGGAGTGTCTCTCTTTAATAGGCCACCATGCACAGCCTTGGCAAGCAGAATCACAGCTATGTGTCCGAGTTCATTCTCATGGGCTTCTCCAATGACTCACAAGTCAGAATAGCACTGTTCACTTTCTTCCTCCTCCTCTACCTTACCATCCTTATGGGCAATGGACTCATCATCACTCTGATCTACTGGGACTCACACCTCCACACGCCCATGTACTTCTTTCTCAGTAACCTCTCTTTAGTGGACATGAGCTATGTCACCACTACTGTGCCCCAGATGTTGGTTAACATGGTGTGTCCAAGAAGAACTATCTCTTGGGGAGCTTGTGTAGCCCAGATGTTCATCTTCTTAGTTCTGGGCATTACTGAGTGTGTCCTCTATGCCATTATGGCATACGACAGGTACGTGGCTATTTGCTTTCCCCTTCACTATACCCTATATATGAGTCGTCCCACTTGTATAAAGATGGTCACAGTTTGTTGGTCCATCAGTATAACTGGGGCCCTGATCTACACTGTCTTCACCATGCACCTGCCTTACTGTGGCCCCCACAAGATAAACCACTTCTTCTGTGAGGTCCCTGCTGTATTGAAGTTGGCCTGTGCAGACACATCCTTCAATGATCATTTGGATTTCATCTTAGGTTTCATTCTGCTTCTGCTTCCACTGTCCCTCATTCTGACCTCCTAAGTCTGCATATTTTTCTCCATATTAAGAATCCATTCATCCAAGGGAAGGCTCAAATGCTTGTCCACATGTGCTTCCCACATTACTGTAGTCATTACATTCTATGGGCCAGCAATGATGATGTACATGAGACCTGGCTCCTGGTATGACCCAGAGCAGGACAAGAAGCTGGCCTTGTTCTACAATATTGTCTCTGCCTTCCTCAATCCCATCATCTACAGCCTCAGGAACAAGGATGTAAAGGGAGCATTTTTGAAAGTACTTGGAAACAGACACACAGGTCAGTGAACAAAAATATTTCACAACTGCCCAGGGAAAAGAGCTGGACTAGATAGGGCTCGTGTGGTATCAGAGGAGCACATACAGTTCTGACAAGTCTGAATCTTTATGGGGCTATGAGCATCTGGGAGAAGATGTGGCCCCACCTATACTGAATCTCCACCCTGTGGCTGAAAAAGCATCAACTGACATCATACAAAGGCTCTGCTCAGTACTGAAGAGAAAGGATTTCTTATCCAAAAGCTATATCCCTGTGATTCATGGCCAATATCTTTATGCATTTCCTGGGTTCTCACCTTACCTGTGGAAGTTTATGTCAACATGATCACAGTCAAATATTTAACATGCACAGCATACCATACAGTATAAAGAAATTTAGGATGAAAACAATGTAAAGAATAGGCAGATTATGCAGCAATATAGTCTTGTATGATTGCCTGATGTGCATGTATAAGCAATATTTAGGAGTTTCTTGCATTAGGCTATAAAGTCTGAGCTAGAAATATTTTAGACATATCTGTGTAACAATTTGACTAATAACTAACTTCACTTGGGCTTAGTTTATGATTTTTACATTTTAAAGTTCAACTTTATATTGAGAAATATATATGTATTTCTCAGAAGAAATAAGTATACATATCGTATATGTATATATAAATATATATGTTTGTAGTATACATATCATATGTGTGTATATCTCTATATATACATATATGTCTTTATGTGTATCAGAGAAAATGAAAAAGAGAGAATCAATAGGAAAGAACAAAGATTTCATTTTCCCCCACAATAAAACACTTGATAATACTTTGTCATATTTTATTCCAGTTATTTTTTTCTTCTTACTTTTTTTCAGAGAATTAAATAATTATAGATAAAGTTAAAGTGCCCTTTGAATACCACCAACTTCCCTGAAACAATCACTATAAATATACTATGTTGTTGTTGTTGTTATGTGCCGTCGAGTCGGCCCCGACTCATAGCGACCCCTCCTTGGGTTTCCGAGGCAGT